TTGTAAGAATTTTTGAAATGCTTGCATAGTCAAATACTAGTACCTTTATGGTTCACTGAATTTAATGGGTGTTTAGTTAAGTCAATTTCACCTTTTTTCTAAGTCCTCAGCATGGAGATATATACCCACAGAGTCCATTGGGGCTTTCAATTTAAGTGTAAAGTTTCTCAAGCACAAAGTCATATGATTAAATCAGTAACCAGAATTTATTAAAAGCAAAGAAGAGTGGATATATTCCCTTAAGCCTAGATTTAGCAGAACCACAGGACAGTAATTTTTGTCATTAAGGAGCTACTTTTTCAAATACTTAAACCCGTGAAGGTCAAACATAAGGAAAGAAATACGAAGTTGCAGACTCTCAAGTGAGAAAATGGTAATCAAATGTAATAATGTCCCATTTTTTTTTTTTTTTTTTTTTTTTTTAATTTTAAGGATAAAAGGAGGGAAACATTAACAGACATACAACATTTTACAACATATCACAAGCACAATACAGACAATACAGAGTTCCAAACAAAGTGGTAGGGAATTAACAATGGTGGTTGTATTACATATTGATATCTTCAAAGTGGCTTCTCATGAAAACAGATATAGACATGCAATACTGGTCAACCAAAGACTCATTGACAGTTTCTTTCAGCATAGAAACAGCAGATAGAAGAACAACCATGTTAGTCCCATTTGTTCTTAATTTCAGTATTGCCTGCTTCATCTTAAAGATATCCAATTTCTAAGCTACAGAATCATGAATCAAATTATATTTTTTTACTGCTGAAAACCTTATCTGGAGTACCCTCAATAATGGAGTACATTATTTTCTTATGATCATGGAACCCCTAGTGAAGTTAGAAAACTATGTTGCTAGGTGAAAGGGTAGAATACTAAATTGTCCACAATTGTATGAGGAGTAGAACAGGACCAGAATGTTTTCTTCCAATTCCAGGTTGTATTTACACTGCTAGGACAGTGCCCTCTTCCTACCAACTCTATACTCAAATTAGAACTGGACCAAGGTCATCTAGGTTAATAGTTTCCACTTCTGTAAACTCTACACTTTGAAATGTCTTATAACCAAAAATAGCTGAACTTTAGAATTAAATCTAACAATAAAGGCACCTTTTCACTAATTTAGAATCCTTCAAATTGACTTTAAGGTTATATCTAAGGAAAGGCTCCAAATTATTAATTTTCTGCCAATCGTCCATAACCCTGGGTTAAACCTGTGGTTTATTCTTAGAAAGTACCCCATCCCTATCAGAATATGTGGGATTTTCTTTAAACATCCTAAAACTGGAATGCAAAGACATTTCTTTAGGAACATAACTTTTTCCTCTTGCTGTTGGTATTAAAATAAAAAAGAGGCTGCATCCAAATCCTTTCATGGTTACAAATAACCTTATAATCCAATAAACTGAATTTCTAAAAAAATCAAACTTGACATGACTAAAATTCTTTGTAACTAAATACTCTTAAGTTGCAGCTTTTATACATTAGAAAGAAAGTTGAGGAAAATAGAAAAGCTAAGGCATAAGTTCATGGACAATTACTGCCTTTTCATCTGAATGAACCTGATTCGGGGTTTTCATGAAAAGCCCAGACACAGCAAATTCTCTGTCATTTTACTCCAGCATTTCTCAACCTTGTTTGTGTTGATAGTATTAGTGCTTTGAGTTTTCATTAAGGATTGTGTGTGCAAGTGTGCACTGATGCACGTTCATAGGTTTTAATCTGAACTCTCGTGAACTCTGCTGGTGTGAAAAGCATGTTATGGTGTAGAGCAAGAAGGTCTCACCAAAGCCTCATGCACTCACAGGTGGAGCCTGCAGAAGGTCATTAGATCATGGTGGAGCTTACTCATCAGTGGAATCATCGAACAGTGAATTCAACAGCTCCATGTGCATTGGAAAGTGGGGCCTGGCTGGAAGAAGTAGGTCACTGAGGGTGATGTGGAAGGGTATCTCTCTCTCTCTCTCTGGCTCCTTTGTTCTCTCTCTCTGCTTCCTGGTAACCATGACATAATCAGCTTCTCTTCCACTATGCATCTCTGCCATACCATCTCTGCCATACCACTTCTGCCTGGGAGCCAGCCAACCATGGACTATAATGTGCTAAAGTAAACCTCTCCTTCCTTAAGTTACAGGTGGCAAGTATATGTCCCAGCCAGAAGAAAGTAGCTAAGACAACATGTTCTGGTGATCTTCTTGACAGTCTTAACCTCAAGGACTCCCACTCAGTTTTGGTGCTTGTTGTATGTAGGTTTGGTTGAGATGATGTTAGCTATGGCTGCTATAATATTGTAGGCTGAATTAAAACTTGATCACCCATCGCAAAAGCCAAGTGTAAATGAGCTATCTTACAAAAACAGACATGGCCACCTACACCACAAGCCCCACATTCTGTAAAGGTCAGACATGGCTAATTGGGGAAACTTTCCAAGGCAAGAGTCACAGAGTCACAGAGTCACAGAGTCACAATCCCCCTAACTCACATTACCACACTTCAAAAAGGGAGAGTTGCCCTCAGTAGCTCAGCCAAAAAATGAACACCACCGTGCATTGCATTTGTTCAGACACTCTGCTAAATAGATTTTGTGGAAGCGTAGATATGTGAAAAAAATAATACAAATGTTTGTAATGCTTTTGAATCTTGAAAACAACAAGGTGATTTGTTGGATTTTTTTAAACCATGAATCTTTTATTTACTCATTAATTCACTCAATGAATATTTAGTAAGCACCCGCAGGGCTCCAGTACTACGCTTACAGAATCACATAGCTTGTAACTGTTATAACATCAGTCTCAGCTGTTTTTGTCATCCTCACTCTCTAAGGGAATTTAAATCTTTCCCAAATTGGGAAGGTGGTTTTCACATCATCTGTAAGAAGATGATCTAGTGTGTTACCCCGTCCTGTGTGGGCTCTAGCACACTAGGACTTATGGGTCAGAACCAGCCCAGGTAGAACTGGACACCTGACCACTGTGTTCCAAACCATTATCTATCCCTGGCGCATTTTTTGTGCTATATGGAGCTCCTTGTGACACCCAACTGATTGGTATCTGCTCAGGTTGTCTTGGGAGACAGAAGACTGCTAACTCTGAGGAGTCAAAATGTCTTGAAGACAGGATGTTTTGCCAGGTCGGGCAGAGATGAACCTTATGGGGAAAACAAGGAAGCTTCCAAGGGGACAAGCACATAAAAGTTAATTATTCAGCAAAACTGTCACCATGCCTTGCTTGCCTGCCTTGCTATCTAAAACAAACTTCTTTGTTCGGCAAAACTCTATTGCCTTTGTTATTCCTCAATAAATCTGGCGGTTGGAGCCAATTTGAGGCTTCACTCCATTCTAGTGAAGACCCTTGACCCCCCAGCAAAGATAGTCTGTCTCTCATGTCTTCATTTGTCTCGGTAACAGGGTTTGCTGACTCAAACCTGGCAGCCCTAGACTGCTGTGGTAAAATAGCTGTAATTTTACTTTAAAAAAGACTTACGTAAGAAAGTTAAAAATTAATATCTGTTTTGGTTCTCTGGTGATTCCAGACAGGAAATCTGTTGCTTGTACCTGAAGCCTCAAGCAAAGCAACTGGACTTTGCCCTCTCTGTAATGTATAGCCTTGGAAAATAATATTCCAAGGTAAGAGAAGAATGAGGGGCAGGGAGGGGGCTGTATGCGTTTGAGGGATTGCAGTGTTAGACTTTCTCCTGAGTGTTTGGAGAAACTGGGTGGAATTGTATTTAGCTTTTTAAAAAGACCTTAATCTTCTCAGCTGTTGCATTAATCCCAGCACTCATGGAAATGAGGAAATCTGACCTCATTTCAATTAGAAAAGATATCAAACTAAATATTTGCTCTAACTCATATTGTTGTATAGATCAAAAATCTGGTTTCTGATCAGAAGAAGATGGTACAAAAGAAATAATAACTTAAAGAGAAGAATAATTCAGTTTAAATTGTGAATTTCCTCATGAGTGTTCAAAACTTTCAATGTTTGCAAAGAGGTTTACCTTGCATATTTAATTTTTGCCAGAGTGGTTTTACAATATACCAATATACTAAATATACTTATTTAAGTTGCAATGAGTGTCAAATTACATGATTTTTGCATTGATTATTATTTAACTATGAAACCCCAATAGAGCCAGTCTTGGTGGAAAATCTTTGGGACAGTTCAGTCCACCAATATACAGTGAATTTCTTTTTTTTTTTTTTTTTTTTGGTTTTTCTCCGGTACCGGGAACCGAACTCACGACCTTGCGCTTGCTAGGCAGGCCCTTTTGTCCGCTGAGCTAAATCCCCAGCCCCTTATGAATTTCTACAATGTACATAAGGGTTTGAGAGAAGCAACCATGTAGAATAAACCCGAGCTTTATGGCTTTTATTCAATTAAGCATTCAGCATTAAATTCATTAGTTTACTTAATAAAATTAAGGAAGATAAAGATTTCAAATGATTTTAACTCATCCTGCTTAGTAAAATTTCATTGTTAATGATTTGTAGGTAATAAGGTTTTATGAGCTAATCATATATCATCAGTCATAAAACATCATGTGAAATCTAAATTACAATTTAATATTAGAAAATGTTTTCTTAAGGATATATATACTACTGGAAACAAAACATCCAAAAATAGGCATTCAGTTTTCCCTAGGAAAAATCATGAATCAAAAAATCAAAGCCAAAAAAACATTTAGGCAAAAAATTTATAAAAATATAATTTCAGAGTGTGGATGGGAACATTTTCCTCATGATTCTAGAAAATTAAATACAATATTAGCTTCTCCTTAGAGAAAAGTCACTTGGAATTATACTATATAAAGAAAAACTTTGCTAGTATATTTTAACTGTGTTTGAGAATACTAGTCCTTCATAAACATAATCGTTAGCTAACAAAGTATTTTAAGAGATTTATAGAACAAGCAAACATAAATGGAGAGAAGAGATTGAAGGGATACAGAATGGAAGAATTCACTGGGCAGAAGATGCATATTCCTGGTATCTCTCTTTTTTTAGCCATTCCTATCAATTTAGGGGGAAAAGTATAATTCCCATCTGCTAGATTTCAGGTACACGGAGTTTGTGTTCCCTGAAATCAAAGAATGAACAACAGAGATTAAGAATATGAAAATTTTATTGAGAGATATAGCTCCTGAGAGACAGGAAGGGACCAGAAAGAGGTAGGCGCTTTGTCAGGGGTAATGTATACAGCAAAGACACAGTGTGGGTACAACATGGGTCAAATTATTATCAACCCATAGGATTTCAAGTATAGATGCTTAGCTAATATTGCTCCAATAGAGAAGCAGGTTACATTGCAAGAGTACATGGAAAAAACAAAGGCATTTTGGGAAAGGATGGGTCCAGATACTCTTATCACCCACCTGACCAACTGATGTTTATCTGTACTTTTACTGGACCAACTATAGTATACCAACTATAGTATAATTCCAAGTTACTGCTTATCCCTTCGGGGAAACATGTAGGCCTGGCTATTGCATCTTTATCTTGAGGCCTGGCATTCTTTGGCTGCACCTCCAGTCACAATTCTAACGTCTTTATTTTTTTTTTGCTGACTTCCTTAACAGCCTAGTCTCTCTGACTATATATTAATTTCTATCTAATTTAGCTGCCTATAATACTACTAGATTAGGGTCACTGTGATCCCATTCATTAATAATCTCCTTAAGCATCACATACAATCACATTAGAGGTTTGTGCTGCAATATATGAATCTAGGGGAACACGATTCAGTCCATGACAGCCTCATTCATGCTCATTCAAAGCAAGTGCAACCATTGCACTATTTTACAATCCCACCACAGTGCACCAGGGTCCCATTTTCTCTGCAGGCTCTCCCTCTGTTGTACATATCTGGTGTTTTGATAGCAGCCACCATCGCCATGGGTGAGAGGTGTCATCATGCCCCTTCTTGTGGGGCCTGAGAAATGTGAATTAAGCAGTCCCTGTACATGTTGGTCCCTTCTATGTATGGCTAGGAGTGCTGTCCAAGGCTGCCAGGCCATGCAGATGTAAGGCAGAGAAACAAAAAAGACCAGTGTTTCAGAGAGACAGGAACCAAACGGAATGATTGTGGAGTCTATTTTTAGTTGGGCTGGATTACAGTTCCCTTCAGAGGTGGCATCTACTGAGAATAAGCATCTAAAAGAAGTAGCGCTTCCAATTTCCTGGTGTCATTTGCAACCCTCCTCCCACACCCACCACTGCAGTGGCTGCCTTGGGGATCCTTTGCTTCCTGTGGCCTTGTGGAGCCTGAGCAGTCTTCAGAGAATGTTCACTTGAGAGGTGCCTGAACAGCAAACAAACCTGCAGAGAAGGCATACAATTGGCATGGTGAGAAGAAGCTTTAATCCTGTTAACTTTGATTTCACTACCTGGACCTTGAATTCAGCCAACCATAACTATGCAATATGAGGCCAGTTTAACTCAGTGGGGCCTCTTTGACAAGGCCCACACATTCTGGGAAATTCTCCTGGGCTTCCACACAACATAGTTCCAAACAAAGAACATTGCAAACTTAAAGGCCCAGTAGCTTTCTTTCAAATGTTTATAAGTTTTTAGCTCAGGATATTTTCCAACCCTTGTGTTTTAAATAAGCAGGTCTCAGCACAATTAGCCTCCATTTATTTATTCATTAAATATATACAAACGCCACATGTAGAAACAAGGCACTGTGTTAATTGCTGTACACAGGCAAAAAATAAAAGAAGTAACATTATCAGAAAGCTTGTAGAGGATGAGGGATATTAATTCATGTGTGTAAGAAACATAATACAGAAAATAAATAAGACAGAAAAACAGTTCACAAAGGAGATTAAACACAACTGGAAATGAAAGATTAGTTTCAACCAGGACTACCAGAAAAAATTTTCAGAAAGAACATAGTATTTGAGTCAGATGTGCTTGAGATCTGTGGAGAAGAAAGGAAGGCCATTTAAGATCGAGGGATGCAAACATCACTACAGGTATCGGTGCTGAGGGAAGGCAATGGCAGTTCTTGGACAAGGAATGGCAAATGGGAGAAATGAAGGTGAGAAAGTTGGCTGGGATCTGATCTTGGAGTTTCCTGGATGCCTAAGGAGTGAATCATGTAATGATATTGTCGCTTTAAAATTTGGAAACTTGTTACTGTGTACTTACCATATATACATATATATATATATGCACAAATGTATATATACATATATGCAAATATATATAACCTCCTGGGCCAACTTTCTCTTAAAGTTCCAGCTCAAGACATGAAAACACATGTATATTTTAAGGAAAAACAAACTTGTAAATTGTGGCTGTCATCCTAAAATAGTTGGTGGAGAGTTTGGTAAGTAAATAAAAACATAAGATATACATATGACAGGAGAGGTGGAGAGGGAGTTTCTTGTTGCTATATTTATGCAGAACCACCTCTATTCACAGGGCTGGCATTGAAAAATGAGGCAAGGGCAGAAGAATTCCAAATATGCTCGGCCTTTATGATCTATAAATAGAGGGCATATATATATATGACCTACTTACAGTACCCTTTATTGTAAGTGACTACCTGGGACAGAGTTGCATTTTGGGTAGTTCAGAATCTCACAGCTCCAGCTGGGGAAAGAAATTTTCCCTGGCAACATTATTATAGAGCATGATTGGTTTTTATAATATTGATACCCAGCACCACACTCCAGTATTCCAGGGTAGTCATTCACGACTGATCTATGAAACAAAATACAGTACTATTTTATGAAAAGAGCCAAACATGTACACACACATGTAAGTATGGAATATAACACAACAGGCTCCTATATTCCTCTCATAAGATTCAGTGACTGCCAAGACTTTTCCACCTTTGCTTTCCTGTGTCATTCTTCTTTATCCTGAGATATCATAAAACACATTTGAGGCTTTGTTATTTTCTTTCCACTACTTTAGTGTTTGTGTCTTATGTGGAATAATATTTCTTAAACAACCTTGATGACGTGGACTCATTTAACCTTAAAAAGAATTCTTTTGGATATTAATTGGATACAAAGCAAAGTGCCCCACTGTACTTTTCTTTCAATGGTTTGTTTGGGTAAGACTCCAAAGAAGGTATACCCATTACATTTGGTGGCTCTATCCCTTATTCAGACTTAATTTGGAGCTGCCTTTCTCTCTGCCTACCCATTCCTGTGCCCTTTGGTTTGTTTAAATGGTGCTTAGTCACTTTTTTTGCTGCTGTGACAAAATACCTAACACCCACCGTTTAAAGGAGAGGTTTATTTTGGCTCACAGTTTCAGTCCATGGTCAGCTGGCTCCAAGGCAGAAGCAGCACAATGGAAAAGTCTGGTAGAGGACTGCTGGTCTGGCAGAGGAGTGCTGTTCACTTCATGGTGACCAGGAAGCACAGAGAGAAGGGAGGAGTTGGGAAGGGGATATATCCTTCCTTTATGCATCCAGTGACCCACCTTTTCTGTTTATACCCTACCTTCTAATGTACTTTCAGTTCTGATGAACGTAGCACCCCATGATCCAATCACATTCCAAAAGCCTCACTTCTGTTGACATGAAGCTCTAGGGAGATGTTGTCCATCTAAATCATAACAAATGGTGTCAGTTTTCTTAGGGAACATACCATGTCCTATGTTTGCCTCTGCTTTCTGGTGGCATTGTTTAATTGTCCCTGTTATAGACAGCTAAGTTAGATAGAAACTAAGAAGCAGTCAGAGAGAGATGAGGCCTTGAGGAAGTCAATAAGAAGATAAGACACTCCAAGACTGTGGCTGGAGGCAAATCTGCAGAGAGCCAGGCCTCAAGATGGAGACACAGTAGCCAGGCCAGCAATCTCCTCCAGAGACGAACAGCAATTTGAGATTATACTGCAAGGAGCACCACCTGGTCCAGTGAGCCCAGATAGGCATCAATGCGTTGGTGAGTGACCAGAACATCTGGATCCATACTCCTATCCCTTGCCAATAATGTCTTTGTTCCTTCTATGATTAGAAGTTATTGATAAAGTTAAGGATGAATGACGCTTGCTATATACCTTGCTTCCCTATTATCTCAATATTAGCTAAAAAAACCATACTGGTAATCCTATAGGTTGGTTGTCATTTAATCCCCATACTGCAGTCCTTGTTCTGCTCCAGTGAAGATGGATTATAGATGCCTTGACAGGGTGTCTTCCACTGTCACTTAGGGGATACCTATATTGTGATTTTTCTGTATAAAATACCCCTGACATTCTTTATGGCTGAGTAGTACTCCATTGTATAAAAACACCACAACTTTTTTTCATTTCTCTGTTGATGGGCATTTGGGTTGTTTCCAAGGTTTAGCTTTTACAAATTGTGCTGATAAACTTGAGACTTTTATGGGTAAATGGCTGCAATTTGAGACCATATTCATAAGTGAAGTAAATCAGGCTCATATGTGTAAACATTGTATTGTCTCCCTAGTATGAGAAGTTGAAAGAGTAAATAAGGCCTAAAATGTACAGTAGATACTGTGAAATTGGAAGAAATTGTTCAAAAAGAAAAAGTAACTAGGATGGGTGAAAGGGGAAAGGTCAGTAGGGAAAAGGGAAAAAATGCAAGTCAGTTATACTATTAGTGTCTCTTAGTTCATTGAAAAAGAAGATATGTGCTAATATTGATTGGAGAAATTTTTATGCCCATATTTTGTACTCTAAGCAACTACTTTAAAGATAACAACATGGACTACTGTTATTCTATTACTTTGTTATGAAATTTTGTTTTAATTTTTTTCCATAAAAGAAATACCCCGGACAAAGAGACTTAGTGGCTGCCCACTCAAGACCTTTCCTGGAAATGCAGGAGCTATTCTTGGTATTTCCAATAAAACTCTGCTAACCTCCTCCTTTGATTCACAACTTCATTCTTTGATGTTGTGAGACCACAAATTCAGTACATTTAAGTTTGGGAGTTATTTTCCCCATCATATTCCTTTATATCCCCATGTGTATTTTTGAAATGTGTGTATGAATGCTTTCCTTGAGCATGGACATATAAACTAAAAGAATCTGGTGGGATGAACACAAGCTATTTATTTAAAGAGGCAGAACTGAATTGTGTTGCAATGTTAGCATTTATTTGACATGGAAATTATATATGTTATTTAAACTTTCCAAGTTAGTTCCATTAGTTTTATTAAGCATATACAAATAACTTCCTGTGTTTTCATTAAGATTAAACAAAGAAAACCTGTAAGGATCTAATTCAGTGTCATGCCCATACAACACTCTGCAAATCTAGCAGCTATGTATAAAGCTCTTTCAGTTGACTCCCAGCTCCAGTCTGTGGTCTGAATCGCCTAAAGAAGTGGTCTGCTTGATGAAGTTTTCAAGACTTTTGGCTTATTTTCCAAATTTCAAAAGATAGGTGTTTTACTAATTATGAAAACAATATCTGGCTATCTTTTAGAGGAGACACAATTATATCAGTAGTTGTGGTGGACTGACAACTGGTAGTCATCTTGTAACACCCAGCTGAACTGAATCAGCATGGTGCTAGGTGTGGAGGTCCCACCCGAGGCTTGTTGCCAACAACATAGAAATGAGAACTGAAGAGGAAGAAGCAGGGATGTTGGTTCTCCTGAAGGAGCTTGTCATGCTGGCTTTCCTGATATGCACTTGGCTATTTTCACTGTTAAAGGAGCTCAGGACCTTGTTGTCACTGAGAATGGCTATGGTTCACTTTGGGGGAGCCCTGCTCCTTACTTTGAGCATCAGTTCCTGACTCTGGAGGGGAGGATGGTGCCTTGTTAAATGTCTTGAAGTTTGTTGTCCTGGCTTTCCTGATATGAACTCAGCTGTTCTCATTGTAAGCACTTAGGACCTCATTGTTGCTGAGGATGGCTGTGGTACTTTTCGGGGAAGCTCTGGTCCTTACTTTGAGTGTTGCTTCCTAGCTCCAGTGCAGATTCCTCAGCCTATTGGCACAGATCCTTCATCCTGCTAGCACAGACTTTCTAGCTTCCACTGCTGACTGTTGGGCCTTCCCAGTGCAGATCCGTGAAACAGATTTGCATGAGACATTGTTGTGGGCTCTAGGCCTCCAGTTGGACTTGTTGGGGGCATTGCCATGGGCTTTAGGTCTTTAGCTAGACTTGTGTAGGACATTACCGTGGGATCCAGGCCCTCAGCTGGATTCTTTGGGTCTTTAGTGTGGATAGATTTTCTGCACTCTTTTGTATTTGACTCTTTGGGAGACTATTATAAAATAATCCTATAAATTATGTGTCCTGTATTAAATTGTTTCCCTTGCAAACCCTGACTACAACAGTAGTAATTTAAAATAATACAATTAAAACCTGATTCCATTAATTGGAGGAGCTATGTACATTAGTGTTGACAAGACACTCTAGGCCAGAATAACTAACAGTGTCTATTTCCATCGGAAGAAAAGGATTTACGAGTTAGGTTATATCTTTTAGCCTAGCCCTAAGTGAAGGCTGGAAAGCACCCTGTCCAAGGCATCCATAGTCTTCACTGGTGCAGAACAAGGACTGCAGTATCTTGAAGAAAAAGCTCAGTCTATTGAGGGGACCAATCCTCATATTCCAGCCCCAGGGGCTTTCTGAACCTCTTCAAGTTGTCTCTGCTGCTGCTACATTGGCGCCTAATATGATGATTCACAGCTAAAGGCCATCTACTTCATGTCTTCCATTTCACCTTGAAGGTGTGAGAGAGGTAGCTGGGATTACATAAATGCATATTTTTCTGCTATTCTACTATGATGATAATACTATTCAGTTTATTACAAATGTCTCAAATAGTAACATAATCTTTGATGATGCAGCAGAAACTAGGGTGATGGTTCTCATAGAGTAGTACAGGGGCTCCCGCATCAGAATTACCTGGAGCACTAGTTTTAAAATGTGCCTTAGCCTGAGTAAATGTAAATATCTGGAATGGGGATCCAAGGATCTGCGTTTTAACATCCACAGTACAGGGTGAGAATGTGATAATCTGGAAGGGAATCTCTGGACTTTGTGAACTTGTGCCAGAGCTACATGGTTATGAAATAAACATGCTGATATTTTAACCCAGGACTATTTAGCTTCAAACCTGCATTGACTCCACTAGGCTACATTTCTAATTGTCAATGGCACTCAAATCACTTTCACTTACCACTTTTATCAGCCATACATACCTTGTAGTTTGTTCATGAACCAGCAATTTTCAAGGCCTTAAGGTGCTGTGTGATTTCTCTTCTGCCTCCCTTTCTGGAAGAGAGATTTATCTGAGTGGATTTAGGCCACTCTCCCTGCAATCACCAGTTGTGCCTCAGTTTATCCTCCAACTGCTGCTCCTGTCTTCCTTCCCACACTCCAGACTTCCATTGTTTTTCCTTAGTGAGTGAATTTCCAGTATTAGGCTCTAATAGGTTGAAAATAAAAACTGAATGTGTAATACAGAAGCTTGATGACACTTTGCAAAATATTTTAAAATGTTATTTGTACTCAATTCCAACAGTTAACTTCATACCAATATTGAAAGTATTGATCATGATTCTAATCATAACTCAGCGTTTAATTTAAGGACAGCATATGGAAAAATTATGACTTCCTTCTCTCCAGAAATTTAGCAAAAGAGATGAAAAGACTCGAAATAAATAAAAAGAGATTCACTTTTAAACACCAGACACTCGTTCTAAAAATAAAGTTTTGTTGTCTTTACTAAATGCAAAATATGTTAAGGTCATTGTTATTAACATTCTTGTAACTTACATGGTTTAATAAAATTCATTTATAGCCCAGTTAAGGGAGGGGTGTATTTGGTTTAAAATTCCTGGAGCTTCTAATCAAGTCTTAGGGCAGGATGTCTGCCCATGCAGGATTTTATCTCAGGTACTAAATGAATGACCACAAGGGTCTGCTTGTCCTGATCGAAATCTTCTTGCTCTAGAACAGTGGTGGCAAATCTGTGGCACATGTGCCGCAGTAGGCTGTTTGTATCATTGAAAGCTCTGAAAAGTTCTCCATCACTGCTCCAGAATATATATACATCTAGAACCCCAAGATGCCAACCTTTGGAAGTCTGTGGGATAGAACTAAGAGAGCTGCAGCAAAGCTCTCTTCTTCCTAAGAATGTCCCCAACTTCCAGGAATTCTGAAGAGCTGAGGTTCACAAACTTTCTATAGTAAACAAGCATTTGTCACAAGATTTAAACTACAGTCAAGGTGTTTAACTTAGCTTTTTCATGTTTCCGTTTTTAAAATTGCAGGTTGTATTTCCTTCTTAAAAAATATTCCATTTGGAATTATATCGTTTTATTTTTTATGGATATTCTAGATTTTTGTTATATTGTTTTCAATGGGGAAAGGAAGCAAAGAATGTAAATAATTATAGATGCTTCTAAACTTATAAGGCTATGCCCTCATAAGCTTATTGTAATTTAAAAATATCATAATCTGAAAATGTATTTTGTACAATCTACCCAACATCATAGCTTAACCTAGTCTTCCTTAAACAGGCTCAGAACATTTACATTAGCCAAAGCTGGGCAAAATCATCTAACATGAAGCCTATTTTATAACAAAGCATTGAACATAAAGCCTATTTTATAACTAGTTTGTGTCTTATGTAATTTAATAGATGTTTATGTAAATACTTTATGTCATTTATTGAATACTGAACTGAAAGTGAAAAACACAATGGTCATATGCGTATGTTTTCACACCATTGGAAAGTTGAAAAATCTTAAGTCAAGGACCATCTGTATTCCTAAATAAGGAAGATGAAATTCCGTTTCCTCCTACTTAGCTCCACATGGACTTCTTCCTCAACTGTGGATCCTCCACCTGGCAGCCAGCATCTTCAGTTCCCTCCGTCTCTGTCAAGTGTAGATGATGATGCAGCCAGCCTCTCATCAGTGGGTTTGCATCCATAGAGGTTGGGGGAGATGCTGGTTAAACAGAATTAAGATGATTCTTGCTGAAGGACAGCCACGTGGTCAGGTATCAGGGTGTGTGTGTGTGGAGGGGGGCTGTCCATCAGAATGGAAGTGTAACTTGTTCTCTCTAAATTGTCATTGCAAGATTTTTGGTACAACAGGGTGACTTTGTCCCTCTGGCTGGAAGCTGAGGTGAGACTCCTTGGGACGAGGGCTCAGATGACCTACACTGTCAAGGCAGTCCATCAAGAGGACATACTCTGTGCATGCGTCTTCCTGCTCCACAGTGTAGGAGACAGGGACCTCAGACTACCAAACACTGCCATCGACCACAGGCACAGAAGGCCACTTGTGGGAAGTGGCTAGCCGGCTCTGCAGTCTGGGGTGGGACAGGAATCTTGTGTTATTTCCAGGCCTGACAAACCGCAGACATCTGCAGTGATAAATCCCACCCTGTTAAAAAAAAAAACGGCACGTTCTGTTGCTCACAGCCTCAGCATTACCATCAAAGAGTGCTCACACAGTTCAGGTAGCAAAGGCGTTCACAAGTAGCCCTACCCAAGGCCTCAGGAGGCGGGGCAACTGGGCTGCCAGGCCCCTCCAGGCTCGCGAGAGAACCTCCCAGCGCCGTTTTCTCCCCGCCTCTCGCGAGAGTCGAGGGTTTCGACTTCCAGTGTGCAACTTCCGGAAGCGGCGTCTCCGAGGTAACGGCGATGGCGGCCCGGGAGACCGAGCGTCTCTTTTCGCTGGAGTTACTCGTGGACTGGGTGCGCCTGGAGGCCGGATCGCCTTTCGCAGGCGCCGGGGGCCCTGCCGTGGCTCTCTTCCTGCTGGACTTTCCCCCGCTGCTCGTCCACCCGCCCGCTACGCCCGTCCCCGCTCCCCAGCGTGGTGCCATCGGCTTCGGGCGCGGCAAAGCCTGCCTGTTCCGTCTGCGCCCCGCCGCCCTGCGCTCGCTCCTGTTGCACGCCGCCTTGTTGCAGCTGCCTGCCGGCCGGGAGCCCACCCCGCGATTGCTGGGGGCCTGCGACGTCCCTTTGGCCGTCGCCTCCCTGGAGGTCGCGGGCCGGCGAGGCACGTTCGCTCTGCTCAGCCCGACGGGAGAGCGCGTCGGGGACGTAGCGCTGTTCTACCGCCTGACCGAACTGGGCGGCAGCCAGCTGGGTTCCCCGGAGCCGCCTGCCCCTAGCGCCCCCGCGGCAGGGGCGGAGGGCACAGCGGGGAGCCAAGAAGCGCGGGGGGCGCCCCACATCCTGCTGAAGGCGCGGAGGCCTGCGTCGGCCCCGGAGCTGCGCCCCAGGGACGGGCACCGGCCTGCGGGGGCCCCAGCGGCGCGGCAGGACCGTGGGAAGAGAGTTTTCCTCGGCGAGGCCATCCCGGGTCCCTCAGATTTTGTTAAGAGCCTCAGGAAGGACTGTGCTGCTGCTCGCTCAGCTGGCGTCCGCGGGAGGCCTGTGAGCCCTCCCAGTGAGGACGTCGCGGAGTTGGACTTTGAGACCAATACCTTTTGCCCTCCTCCTCTCTATTACACTCACTTGACCCAAGAAAAGAAGCCTCCTGCACGGGTTAAAATCACAGTTGAGCCACACATAAATGTACCTGAGGAGTTAGATGATGCTTTTCCCAAAAACAGCCTTGTAAATTCTCCAACGCAGCTGAGTCCTCTAAAATACACAAATTCGGCAGCAGAAGAGAGACCTACAGCTCTTGTAAGTCCTCCACATAGTCAGGATAAAGGAGCAATTAATCAAACTACATTTTCTCCTCAAAATGAGCAAAATACAATTAATACAATAAGGCAGTTGCCTTTGTTAAATGCTTTGTTAATTGAGTTATCTTTGTTGTACAACCAACCCATGGCAAGTCCTACTCAGATACATCCTCATTTAGCCTGGTTGTATAGAAGTCAGGATAAGGTGTCAGAATCTTATGCCAAGTCCACTGAATCTGAATCTAAGCATCAGCTTTCTGTGGGAGAGGATAAAAAGTCAGTGAGTCTTCAGTGTAAAAAGAACGCAATTGAAAGGCTTAAGAAAGATAAGTACTCTGAAAAGAGCAGTGGAAATTCCGAAACAAGAGTGACCAGGAGGAGACTACTTTATGGTTTAACAAATACTCTAAGACTACGCTTAAAGCAAACAAATCCTGATATGTTAATAGTACAGGAAAAGAGAGAACACTATAGAAAAATGCAAGCACAAATGTTAGGTACTAAACGTAGAATTACACCATCAAAAGGTAAAAGTGTACTAAATTTTGCAGAACAAAGTCAGCAGCCACAACTGCCTAAAAATAATTATTTAGATGAAGATACATCTCTTGTTGAAAATAGTAATACCTCGAAGCAAATTGGTGAAGCTTTTGATTCGCCAAGCACCACTAAGGAGACTAAAGCAAAACAAGGAACTGAACAAAAGACAATTGATTGTGGTCAAAATAGAACCAGTAATGGTTTAGTGGAGGGAATTATAAGTCCTGCAAATTCCATTATTACAGACAGATTTACTCACACAAATACTTTAGGAGGAAAATTAGAAAAGAGTGTCCAAAGTCTATGTGTGTTTCAAAAGGATGCTGCCGACAGAAGTTTAGATAAAGAAATAGGTGGCGAGCAGGTCAAAACTGCAGACGAGGATGTTCTTGCTACTGATATGAGTGAAAGTAGGCCAAGTAGAAATAGTTTCTGTGAAAGCATCTCAGAACTAAAGTATTCAGATGACTTCACCAGCCCTTGCTATTCTGAAGATTTCCATACCATTGAGGATACCAGCAGAAGTTTGATAAGTTTAAAGGCTCATGATAGCAGTTCAAAGGCAGGGAATCCAAAACATGATTCATATACAAGTAAGTCCATAAGGAAAAACAGCAGTGAAAAGAGTTCCATTCTTAGCCCACCTTTTTCTGCTGGATCTCCAGTACTCTCACAAAGAAGATCTCATACTTCAAAGAATAAGGACAGACGTTTGGAGGAAACATCTAGTATCTCTACTGGTGATTTATCTTCATCACATTCGACTGAGGAAAAAGGAGACCAGATGGACCAAAATAGTATGCATAATTCTAAGGTAATAAAGACAGGTCAAGCTGTCACTGTTAAAACAGGAACTAGTTGGAAGTCTTTAGAGAGAAGCCAGTCACCACGGACATCTCAGTTGAGTTCCTACTTTCCATCTAATTTGTCAGAACTAGAACTCAAGGTCCTGGATAGCAGTACATCAAATCACTTTGGAGAAGATGATGATGATATTGGATCACTAAGTTTTTCCAAGCAATGCAAAGATATCTGTGAGTTAGTAATAAACAAACTTCCAGGATATACGGTGTGAAAATAGTGCTTTTAAAAACGTTTTTACAATGTATATGTACAGTTAGTAAAAAAATTTTAATAACTTTTAGTACATGATGTAAACAATTCTAAGAAATGTAAGTTTGTTGTTCCTTTAATGTTGAAATAGTATTCTGTTAAATCTGATCATATTGATCATGAAGTCATCTTATAAATTAGGTAAGTTATTTTTTAAGTTGTTTGAGAATAAAAGTATACCTTTCTAAATTTCTCTAAATCTGATTTCATATGTACCATTGGGGAAAAAAGGATAGTAAAAGATAACCTTAAATGTTAATGGGAATATGTCCTTCAACAGATGTAGAAGTCCTATGGTGTGAGGTTCAGAAAGGTAAACAACAACAAAATTACTCAAGATATAGCCCTGCTGTTAAAAGAGCTCACTTTTTATGTTTACACAGTCTTTGACAGGTACATATACCAGATCTCCAGCAGGTAGAGACCCTTTTCTATGCTCTTATATGCTCTGTGTCTTTAATTTTTTTATGAATATTTGATTGATGTTTGTCTTCCACTGGACTTTAGTTTTGTGATGGGAAGGCCTTGTGTCTTGCACATCCCATATTTTTTAGTCTCTAGCACAGTCCCTAGCAGATGGTTGGGGTACAATAAAAACATGTTTTGAACATTTAAAATACCTAATGGGAGGTTATAGAACAAAGCAGTAAAAATAAGCTGAAACCCTAAAAAGAAAACTGTGAAAATCCTTATTAAGCCATATGTGACTGTGATATTTTTGATCTGCTGGTTGTAAAGAGTTTTTAGGTGTTCTTTGAAACATTGAAAAGGGAAACTAAGAACAGTGTTACTCTGTACAATCATTTCAGTTTTTTTCAGTAATTATTTTTAATGTTTGAAAGCTTCTTTTTATAAAATCTAGTGATCATTTACCTATAATATTTCATTGATTTTAGAATATTTTGTGTTCAAATATTTGTATGTATTTTCTTCTAGCTGTGTTATACTTCAATTTTTAGAGCTTTTAATATATCTAATATTTTGGATATATGAAGCAAGGTCCTAATTTTTCCCTTTTTTTCAACAAGTAAATATTATCTTTTGAGCGATCATATTAGTAGATGAAATTTTGATAAGGGAAGAGCATGTTTTATTTGAGGAATCAATATAAATAAAAGAATAATGGTGGGAATGAGCATGACATTTATGGGAGAATGGGAGTATTATCTTGATTAAATTCATGGTACTGAGTGGTAGAAAGGAAATTTGTTGAGTACGAAAAGTCCCAGGTTGTAGAGCCTTAAATGCAAGCACAATAATAAAGTCATAGTCAATTAGAGCAGTAAGTTATAAGTGAATACCAGTATGCAGTCATGGTATTATTTAATATTTTAAATTGTTGAAAGTAATTATTTGGGGGTACAGAAATTATGTCATTAAAAGTTCTGAATAATTTAATGGCTAAAGACTGATCTTAATTTTTCTATAAATATATATGGTGTATCATCTTATAAAATCAAAATAATCCCAACTACTGTAGCTACTCAAATGATACATTGTTCAAATTGTTTAATAACCATTTTCAATTAGTGCAGAAGAAAAAATAAAAATATAAGCAAAGCAGAATCATCAAAGATATAATTCCTCAAAAAACCCAAATGTTTTACTATTTAAGAGTAGCTTGGCCAGGTATGGTGGCACTTGCCTGTAATTCCAGCACTTTAGAGGCTGCAAAAGGATCGCTGTGAGTTTGAGGTCAGCCTGAATTACAGAGTGAGACCCTGTCTCAACTGTGACCCCGCCCCTGAGTCTCTAGGTCATCTTTGATGAGAATATGTGAGGAAGATGATGAGTTTAGTGTCAAAATTGCAAGGACATAAGAAATAATATAATTCACATTACAAAATTAAGTAGCTAAATAAGCTCTTCGTGTTATTCTATGAGTATTAATTTCTAGAATTGTATTGATTTTTGTAGTTTAATTCCAGTGACAGTACTTATTTTTATGTATTTAGTACTACCTGCTTGCATTCTGTCAATTTCTGTTTTTAAATTCTACACTATAAACTTTTAAAAGAATTTCATAATAGAAACTATTTGTGAAGCCTGATTTGATCTTTGTTAATTCAAATTACTGAAACATGAAAAGGTATTTCAGGGTCACAAATAAGGGAGATCTGTCATTCCATGGTAAACTTAAGCCTTGCAGTCTAGCTTTTCTAAACAGCCTGCACATCTAAGCTGCTGTGCACAAAGGTGAATGGGACAGAATCTAAGAAGCAAAATGAGCCATAGAAATGGCATTAGGCCCTCTCTGTAGTAATGCTTATACCTTAGGAGACAGCTGTCTGTAATAAATCCTTTGAAGTATTGTAAGCACATTCACAGAGGCCTGTGCAGAAGAAGACAGTATGTTGTTTTCTCCCTCCAGGTATATGATGATATCTTCATATACAAAGAATTATTACATTGAACTTCTGTCATGCTCTTGTGGCTTTCTGTTGAGAGCCACACTTTATGTCTCAATTTATAATTTCCTTTATGTACAAGTAGCGAACTTATGGAATTATACTTAGCAGTATAAGTCAACACCTGTAAGTTAAATAAACAACTTTTTAATTACCACATTGTTACTGGCATGGCAAAGAAATTTCATAACAAGCAACAAATAAGATTAACAGTATTTAAATTTTTCAGGTCAAACTGTCCTTGACCCTAGAAAAGTAGTCATTCTTCAGGCTGTTTATATCAGTTTGAATTAAAATACATGAGTTCTAAGAATGACACTATATGAGCTAAGGCTTGCTGGATCCTTCTCATTTTTAGCCTAAAACAGTACCAAGAAAACTTACTGGTGCAAGACCAATGATTTCTTATGGATCTTCTCCAGGCATCTATCCTACCAGGCAGAAAAGATTTCAGGATAGTGTCATTAGGTTGATTTTCCAAGGCAAAATACCAAAACAAGTATCTAAAGTGTGTCTTGATTTTATTGAAAGGCATTGGTTATAACCTTGGTTCTCTTAGATCATTCCATGGGAGCCATTGTAGGATTGGTTTTAGGATTGAATTGAATAACTTGAGTGGGTCATAATATGACAGGGAATTTGAATATGAGGGTTGGGGATAAAGTTAAGGACAGTACAAAGAATGTACAATGTTTTCTATTCTTGCCCTAAGGAAATGCATATTTAATAAAACTTCAGCAAGGAAATCATCTTTTCCTTTCAAAAGTTTGAAACATCTTTCCCCTGGCTAGGAAAGGCTGAGGATCCTGTAGATCTGTCTATACTCCTTGTAACAGTATCTTGCATTTTCATATATGAGCTTTCTCCTTGCCTTTTGAAGCATGCTTTGGATAAGCTTCTTTCTCAGGCTCTTTACCTTCAGCTCTGAAAAAATGTCCCAGTTTTTCTTAAGGGTTTCTGGCACATCAGGAACCTTATTTTTCTTTTCTTTGACACCTTCTGTGGTTCTAGGCGGAAAAGAGCTCCTCTTAATTTTAATGTCTCCTGAAGGATGTAGTTGAACTATAAGAGCAGTGGGAAATGGATTTGGTTGTAGCTTACAGTTGAGCTGAGATCCTAAGGGAGAAGGTGCATACCATGGAGCATACCGTGGAGCATAAGAAAAAAAGGTACTGGGGCTGTTAGGTGCCTCTCCTTGCAACCCAGAGACTTTAGCTATTGTCTACTAAAAGCCTCAGAGGGCTTCACATTGTGCTTTACTAAGGGAAACTGTTCGATTACAGAGTCTCACAACCATTATCTGCATCTCATAACTCAGATTTCTCTGTCAATTCTGAATTCGGATTGAGTTCTGGGCTTGGAATGACAAAAAATAATGGAGTGCTTTAGATACATGGAAGCCAATTGCTAGAGAAATTGCTCTGAAAATTACTGCTTGCATGTTTAGAATCTTTAGGAATGTTTCCAAGTACTTTGGGGCCACATTTGTTAACCTAAGGGAAAAGGTTTTTTAATCTGAGATGGTCCCAAGAATGGACAACTGCTACTTGCTGTCTGGCGCTCCACACTGCCCAGCTCCTGTGGTCAGTAGCCATGCATTTAGCAGTCAGAGCTCATGACTCTAGGTGAAATTACCTTCGAATCTGATTTCTGGGGCTCCCTACCTCACTGATCACAGCGTGTGGACCATCCACTCAAGAATCAGGATGAGAAGTAGGATATTACTAAAATGATGAGCTTGCTTTTCATTGGAAAATACAGGTGCTAAAAATGTGGTTTGATGATATAGCCTTCATTGTCACTCATTTTAACTCTAATGCTTGTTTACAGTGAACATCCCTTAGCAACTTAGGTCTCTCATTTCATCTTCAAACCTCATTTCATCTTCATGGGAGCCCGGAGAGCTAAATATCCATGTAGATGAGATTGAGGCTGTTTCTATATTTATATTCTTTCTCACTTTAATAGAGAAGTTGGAAGTGTCTTGCCATAAGAAATTAATGTTCATTCAATACTTACATCATTTCCAGAAATAGGGTTGATGACAGTAGCCTATAAGTCGATAAAATTCCAATTTTATTTTGTACGTAGTGAGAATATTTAACATGAGACCTACTCAGCAAATTTTAAGTATAGATACATTACTGTTGACTGTAGGCACAGTTTTGCAGTAGATGTCTGGAGCACACTCATCTTGTTTGACTGAAACTTTATGCCTGTTAGCGTCTTCCCGATTCCCCTTCACCCCAAACCGAGACACACAACATTCTACTCTTTGATCATGTTCTGTTGACATTTTTAGATATTTTCAAATATCACCTCAAATGATGGAATTGTGCAATGTCTTTTTCTAGCCTTGTCATTCATCCATGTTGTTGCATGTTACAGAGTTTCCTTATTTTTAAAAGGTGACTTGTATTTCATTTTATTGATATGCTACATTCCCTTAATCCATTCATCTGTAGATGGACATTTAGGTTGTTTCCACATCGTGGCTGTTATGAGTAACACTGCTATGCAAATAGAAATGCTAATATCTCTTCAAGATCCTGATTTCATGTCTTTGATAACTCAGAAGTGAGAAACTGCTGTATTCTAGCCCTTCCTCTTATTTTTGTTTCCTAACTAAATTAATCAGTTGTTTTTTTGAACCAGATGTATGCTTTCTTGCATAAAACAGAAGTCTATATTGTCATAAGTCTAGGTATAGTGGTAAAAATAAGCTTACCTTGTTATTAGAAATGAAATGTTGAGTTTATAGGAATTTGGAGCTAGAAAACA